GCAGCAGCCGTGTCCCCGAGGGCTCCAGAGCGTCCCTTCCTGTCCCTGTGGTGACGTGGGGCCCAGCGTGACAGGCGACAACGTTCCCGTTTCTGGTGGTTTTGTGCCTGTGGGTGCATTTGGGGAGGTCTGTCGTTATCTGGTGACACCAGCAGGGCCGGTGACACCCATGTGGCAGAGCTGGTGACACCCATGTGGCAGGCAGAGCACAGAGAGAACCGCTGGCACCCCGCTGCCACCAAACCCTGGCATGTGCCACCCTCAAGGGACAGCTTTTGGTGACGCTGTGCTGCACTGCCGGAGCCCAGCACCCTGCTGCCACCAAACCGTGCCATGTGCCACCCTCAAGGGACAGCTTTTGGTGGCACTGCCTGTGCTGCACTGGGGCTACACCCCCAGAGGGGCATTTGGGGACAGCCCTGTCCCCTCCTGAGGGTCCTGCCTGTTCCTCCACCCGCCCACGCCTCTGCTCCTGCCACAACAGCGACATTGTCTGGGCTGGGAGGGAGGGAGGGGTGGATTTTGCACAAAAACCCCGATTTTGTGGCCACAACAGGGCCCCTCTGTGCCGGGGCCCCTCAGAGCGTGGGGTGGGGCTGACGTCAAAGCGTGGGGCGAGCCCCGGGTGCTCTGAGGGTGCTTTGAGCCCTGATCAAAGCCCTGTTATGCCCAGGGGACACCCGGGTGCTGCCTTGGCACGGTTCGGTGCTGTCCTGGTGGGGGATGTCCCCTCGGGTGTCCCCTCATGGCTCTTCCTTTGTCACAGGACACTGGGTTCAAGTGGGCATCGCCCAGCCAGTCCCCGGAGGAGCACAGGTAGGGGCAGGGGGCACACGAGTGGGGCTGGGGTCCCTGTCCCAGGGGCTGGAGCTCGGCCTTGGGGACGTGGTTCCACTCTGGATACCCTGGGAGGGCTGGAAATGAGGGGGATTTTATGGGGAAGTGAGAGCAGCCATGGGGTCACAGCTCAGACACCCCCAGACCCTGCCTGGCACCCAAAGGATTCTGACAAAGGCAAACTGGGCGGTGTGAATCCCATCTGAGGCATTTTGGGGAGCCCAAAGCAGCATTTTGAGGTTTGCACAGGCAGCTTTGGCCATGCCTGGTGCCCTGTCCCTGTCCCAGAGGGTTGGAGCTTGGCCTTGGGGACGTTGTTCCACTCTGGATACCCTGGGAGGGCTGGAAATGAGGGCGATTTTATGGGGGAGGTGAGAGCAAAGATGGGGTCCCACTCAGACACCCCCAGACCCTGTGGGCGCATACTGGCGGGCAGAGTTGGGTGAATCCCATCTCAGGCATTTTGGCGACCCCAAAGCAGCATTTTGGGGTTCCCACAGGCAGTTTTGGGTGTGCAGGCATTTTGGCGACCCCAAAACAGCATTTTGAGGTTCCCACAGGCAGAGCTGGGTGTGCAGGCATTTTGGGGAGCCCAAAGCAGCATTTTTGAGGTTCCCACATTCAGTTTTGGGTGTGCAGGCATTTTGGCAACCCCAAAGCAGCATTTTGAGGTTCCCACAGGCAGAGTTGGGTGTGCAGGCATTTTGGGGAGCCCAAAGCAGCATTTTTGAGGTTCCCACAGGCANCCCTAAAGGTGGCTGTGGGATTGGGCTAAAGCTCAGGTGGGGTTGGGCTCTGCTCCCACACAGAACAGGGCTCAGCCTTCAGCTGCTCCAGGGGAAGTTTTGAAAAAAATCCTTCACTGAAAGAGTGATTGGGTGCTGGAACCATCTGCCCAGGGAGGTGCAGGAGTCCCTGGATGTGTTTAAAAATGACACTCGTGGTTCAGCTGATGAGGAGGAGTTGGGTTAGGGCATAGGTTGGACTTGATGATCTCAAAGGTCTTTTCCAGCCTGGCTGATTCTGAGTTCTGGGGGTTCCTCCCAGCAGGTGTGGGTTGGGAAATCAACATCCATCTTTTTAATCTAGGTGTATAAATATCTCCTAATGTGGAAGTGGCTGTGTCTCAGTGTGGGGTGGGGGGATCTGCATGGGTTTTCTTTTGATTCAAGGCCGAATCCAGGTGGGGGAGAGGTGGGGTGACTACAGAGACTCTGGAAGTGAGAATTGTGGCTGCCCTGATGGTTTTGGCAGCCAGGAAGATCTGTGGTGTGGAGGTCAGGTCTGCAGTAGAGAACTCTGAAGCCATAACTTTTAACTGGAGTGGTTTTGATTATTATTTTTTTAATTATTATTGTTGTTATTATTATTATTATTGTTGTTGTTGTTGTTTTCTGGGAGGGTCTGGATTTTAACTTTTTTGAATCTTGTTAATTCTTTCTAAGAGCAGAAAAACAATCTCTAATTATTACCTCTTGACCTGTTGGTTTGTAAAGAAATCACTGCAAAAAAAAAAACAAAAAAAAAAGGAAAAAAACCAAATGCACAGCTCGATTTACACTGGAACTGTTTCTACTCTGACCTTGCTCCTGCTCTCAAAGGTGAGGTTTCATCTCTGCTCTGGCTGCCAGGGTTGTCTTTATTTCAGTCCCTGTGTTCTTGCTGTCTGTCCCTGTCCGTGTGTCCCTCTCCCCGGTTCCCTGTGTGTCCATGACCTTGTACAGAGTGAGGAGTGTGGGTTGGGTGGGTTTGGCATCATTTTAGGAGCTGGTTTGAACCCCCCAGAGGAGTTTTTGGCAGCGTGGATCTGCCCTGGGAGCAGGGCTGGGGTTCCCCTGTGTGCCCCCAGCTTGTCCAGAGTCACAGCTCAGCCAGAGCTTCCCATGCACATCCCTCAAACCCAAACCTGCATTTAGGACCAGGGGGGCACTTGCAAAACCTAAATGTCAGTTTTGCCCATTTAAACCTGGATTTAGAAGCCAAGGGGGTGCTTGCAAGCCCTAAATTGTCAGTTTACCCCAGTTAAACCTGGACTTAGAAGCCAAGGGAATCCCTTGCAAGCCCTAAATATCAGTTTAACCCATCTAAATTTAGACTCAGAAGCCAGGGGGGTGCTTGCAAGCCCCAAATGCAGGGTTAGCCCAGTTAAACCTGCACTTAGAAGCTGAGGGGGACACTTGGAAGCTCTAAATGCAGGTTTAGCCCCATTAAACCTGCATTGGAAGCCCTAAATGTCAGTTTAACCCATCTAAACCTGGATTTAGAAACCAAGGAGGGTGCTTGCAAGCCCTCAGTGCAGGTTTAACTCATTTAAACCTGCACTTGGAAGCCCTAAAAGTCAGTTTAACCCATTTAAAGCTGGACTTAGAAGCCAAGGGAATCCCTTGCAAGCCCTAGATGTCAGTTTAACCCAGTTAAACCTGGACTTAGAAGCTGAGGGGGGCACTAAATATCAGTTTAACCCAGTTAAGCCTGGGCTTAGAAGCCAGGGGGGGCACTTGCAAGCCCTCAGTGCAGGTTTAACTCGCTTAAACCTGCATTGGAAGCCCTAAATGTCAGTTTAACCCATCTAAACCTGGATTTAGAAGCCAAAGGGTGTGCTTGCAAGCCCTCAGTGCAGGTTTAGCCCAGTTAAACCTGGACATGAAGCTGAGTGGATCACTTGCAAGCCCTCAGTGCAGGTTTAAGTCAGTTAAATCTGGACTTGGAACCCCTAAATGTCAGTTCAGCCCAGTTAAACCTGGACTTAGAAACGAAGGGGGTTACTTGCAAGCCCCAAATGCAAGTTTAACTCATTTAAACCTGCACTTGGAAGCCCTAAAATGTAAGCCCTAAAGCTGGACTTAGAAGCTGAGGGGATCACTTGCAAGCCCTCAGTGCAGGTTTAACTCATTTAAATCTGGACTTGGAAGACCTAAAAGTCAGTTTAACCCATCTAAACCTGGACTTAGACTCCAAGGGAATCCCTTGCAAGCCCCAAATGCAGGTTTACCTCAGTTAAACCTCAGTTTAACCCATTCATAGCTGGATTCAGAGGCCGAGGGGGCCGTGAG